GTCCGTTTAATGTCTTCTTTTTTGAGAACAATAACATTGAGAAACCTTTTGAAAATCACCACTTCACCTGTTTGAAAGTTTTTGAGCAGGAATATGTCGTTTGGATAAAGGAGTTCTATTACCTTTTTTTTTGAAGCCTCATGATGAGACTGGGGTTGTGCAACAAATCTTTTTCAGTAGGCTCACGGCTTTTGTATGTAATATCCGTGGTCGTCCCGCCTCACTGCTAATTGAAAGGCCTTTTCGGTTGCCTGCTTCGCTTTTTTGCTTTTTTCTGATATTTTTTCTTCCTCCTTGGGTTCCTCCTTCATTTGCCCGCCGTCAGGTCCGCTGTCTAGCCTCACTAATACTTCAAGTTCCTTTTAATACGTTTAGTGTTCTGTCTGATAACTGGCATATTGCACGCAACTGTTGTAATTTCGCAACTTGACAAAATGGCGGTCATCAAAATCTCACTAATAGCGAGATGAACCAAGTTTTCAAAAAACCCATCCAAAACAAGGCCAGATGAAGTTAAGAGACAAGGACTTTTGAATGTTCTTCTTGTAAATGTAAAACCTGACATAAAAATGCGAATTAATAGCTAGGAGCAACTTTGATAGTGATTAGGATGTGAAGACCGAATAAGATTGATCCGACCATTGTCCTCTTTCAATTTCAAGTTTTTCTTTTTCTCGATGCCACCGTTAGATAAAGGTTGTAATATGGATAAAAAGACGATAAGAAAATTTATTCTCAGTGCATCAAACTACTTGTTATCCTTTCTGTATTCTCATATTCCGGTCATGATAGTAGAAAATATCATCCAGTATGCAGTCGATTTTCTCATTCACTATCTCCAAGCACTGCAATGCAAAGAAAAATAAAAAATAGTTATACTCTGTAAAACACACATGAGTCTTAGTAAAGATGTTTACCTTTTGTCTCAGTTGCTCGTCTGGACTCTTGAAGAGTGTCTCAAAAAGTGTTCCTATCATGGGTATAGTCATATAGCCACCAAGCGGAAAGAATCGTCGATATGACTCTTTCAGCTGAAAATAATACACATAAAAGAATAGCAGACCTCGGTTCTAGGAAGTGATCAATGATCTGGACATTTGAAGACTATTGGAATATAAGTTTGAATTCGATCGAGGGTAGTTCTTGGGACGAATTTCCCATCTGCTTATGTATGGTATCACGCCTAATAGGTATTACGCATTCCCGCATTATGAATTCCCACCATCCTTTTTCACCCCATTGACCACATTCTTCTTCCTTTGGTACTTTATTGTGAGGTGCAACCACTTCATTGCAGTTAAACCCCTTTTGCTGATGCATCAGAGCTGCTTATCGAAGTCCATTCAGGCTATTCCAGCTACCGAATGCATGATAGCAAGAAATGCTTCTAAACCAAGTCGTAAATTTTTTGACCACCTTCCTCCGATACCTTATTTCTATCGATTTTTAAAGTGTTACTGAACATTATTGTGAATTTTCGTGAAAAGATAAGATCTTCCAATAAAGAGCATACCCATCCATCATAGGCGGGAACGAAATTCGCAATTTGGGCATGCTTGGCACGCTGTAGACCTCCGCCACTTTCAGAGGATTTTTTGGCCTTCAAGGTGAGTCAGATCAATTACATACTTAATTTTCGCCCACCGACAGAAAGCCCCTCCGCCCACGGCGACTGAGCTTCATTTGTTTGTTTCTTTCAACCATTTCTCATGTCTTCCCTCTTCAGAACTGATTATTGTAAGCAGACTCAACTTGGGATTCCGCTATTTGTTCATCTCGTCTTAACTTTGAATTTTCAGTACCTGTTCAAGCGTATATGGTGCTTTTCTACACCCGAGTTCTTCTAAAAGATATCCGTAGAAAAATCCCAAGAGCTCTTCCCAATGCGCACGTCGGTCTTTACCGCTCACGCATGTGGCGAATAAACGCACGAGATCCGTCCCAGCGCATCCAAAGTGAGCTGTCTGTAATAGATAATCGACAGATGTATACTGCCACTCTTTCCAACAAGTGTTGGTGGTTGGGAGTTTTAGAACCCATGCTTCTCAGTGACTTCTAATACGATTGAGCAAGTTACTGCGGGCACTGGATCGGGCTCCCTAACTACATCCAAATTTCTGCGACCTCATCTCAGATCCAAGTGGGATTCATACATACGGTCCTACAGAATTGATCTATCTCTTATTTAGATTTCAGGATTTCTTGACAACGAGTGAGGGTGAAAGCTCCTCTTAGTGAGAAAGGCCTAAATCTTACACAAAGCTCATGGGATATAAAGTAAACCTGATAATCTATGAGAGCAGCAAGAGATAGCTCCTTCCCCTCCTTCCTCCAGAGAGTATTCATAGACCATAAATCACCATGGCACAAAACTCGATCCATTCCTTCAAAAGTTCATATTATACGTGCTACGGACATAAACTTTTGAGAAAACCACAGCGAGGGTTTTGGTTAGATGGATAGTTTGGAAGCGAATAACTGTAGTTACTGTGATAGCACTTTTAGTTGAGTACGATCTTGCTCGATGCGATGTATAATGAAAATATGCGAAATGGTCCTCAAGGGTATGTTATCCTACTATATACAGTGGCTCTCAAAAGTCTTCGACCAAATGTTTCTTCAGTCGCACTTTTCAGTCGTAACTTCTTTCCTACTGGATCTAATCTAGTTATGCGAAATCTCAATATGTATAGCATGGGTGTATGGTGAATATTTACCACTATTAACCTGAATCCGATCGTGTTCCAGATATCCCATAGAGCTTGAACTAAAATCAAACAGATGATGTTCCTTCTGAAAATTCCTTCCCTTTTGCGAAGTCTGAGGTGTACGAGCG